GTATGTATGTATGTATGTATGTATGTATGTATGTATGTATGTATGTATGTGGTTTCTATCCAGCAATTAATTCAAGAGTTCAAGGCAATCTACACAAACCTCTTCCTGTGAAGGAGGTTGGGGTGATGCAGAGTAATTGAGTCTAGAATCACCCAATGAGCTTCAGTGGCTGAGATAGATTAGCAGGGGTCTTCAAACTTGACAGCTTTAAGACTTGTGGACTTCAATTCCCAGAATTCCTCCTCCAGTCATGTTAGCTCAGGAATTCTGGGAGTTGAAGTCCACAAGTCTTAAACTTGCCAAGTTTGAAGACCCTTGGATTAGAGTCTTTGTTTCCCTCTTATTACAACAACATACAATTGTCCTTACAAACCATAAATCTAGAGCAGGGATGTCAAACTCATGTCGTTACAGTGGCATCATGTGATATAACAGGACTTTTCCCTCTTTGCTAAACCAGGTGTAGGTGTGGCCTATGCGTGAGGCAGTGTTTTTGACAGCCCTGATCTAGAGTATTACTTTTAAGAGAAGAAGAACAAGCTTCTAGATTTTTGTTTGAAACTGGACTGGATAGCTTTTCTAGAAATCAGTTGGTCCTCTGTAACTACTGTATTCTTGGGGATGGGGAATGGAACTGGTCCTGAAAGGTCTAGGAGAAAGATGGGGAAAGATAGAAATATGGCCGCTTATTCTTCATGAGTGAAGATCTTTGATTTCAGGATTTTGTGACCCAAGGAAGTTTTCCCTCAAGACCTTGGTGAAGTCTCATGGACTTTGATTAAGGGCTAAATACTGTGAAACACATAAAGTTCTTTGAAGAGAGTAGCTGTGCACATAATGTGTGTGTTTATGTACCTATATATCTATTTCTATGTCTATAACTCTTGTATTTAGAATCCAAAACAATTAAATATTTTTGTTCTCTTTAACAGTTCCTGAAGAAAAAGCAGTCCCTTTTTATCACAATGTGACTACAGGTAATTGGTGGTTGGTTTCCTTCCCCTCCCTCTCCCCCTCCTCCTCCTCCCCTCCTCCTCCCTTACTCTTTAAATCCAGTGGCTATTAAGATTTAGTATTAATTGCTCACTATTGAGATCCATTTATCTTAATAAAAAACCACATTTTTACTTGATTATATGTGGTTATTTTTCAAGCCATAACTTTCTACTGTTTCTACATTGCACTTATATGTTATGGGCCCTGTGTTATCAGATTATGTTGGCTTCTTAGGTTTTCAGATATAATTTAAAGTTTATGGCTTGGCAGTAAGTTAGTTTCAGGGCTGTTTTTACCAATGAGAATCAGTCTGACCAACTCAATATTTTTGGGAAAAGCTGATCTTTCCTCTCCATTTTCACATGGTATAGGAGGCTAAATCATATTGCATTTCTGTAGCAGCCCAGCTTTTTGGAATGGCCTCCTTCTGGAACCTTGGCTAGTTTTGAACTTGACTGCCTTTTGGAAGCAGCTGAAAACAGATCTCTTCTGGAAGGTCTTGGAAGTGGCTTCCCTGTGCCTGAAAAGAATATTCAAAGATGGACAAATAAGGAAGCCTTATGGTATCACCCAGGAGGGCTTCTTATACAAATGTGCAAACAAAAGAAACCCTTTCATCCCATTATCATAGTCATAGCTGTTTTGAGTTTCAGTATGATGTGACCTCAAAAATGCAGCCGGATTAACTTAATTAAGTAGCAAATAAAACAATTGAAAGAAAGCAAATTAGCAAAGAAAGTGAAGAATTAATTGATTAGCAAAGAGAGCAAAGAATTAGCAAAAAAAAAAAAAAAACACCTTGCTCTACAGATTCTCTCCCTCTTTCTGAGATTTTCTTTCTTTCTTTTCAGAAAAACTTTCAAAAGCTGCAAAACCAGGAAGTAAGTTAAAGGCCTTGCAAATATCTTTGATTTTCAAATGACTTTAATTCCTTGTCAGGACATGTAACTCAGTATCCACAGTATTGTTTCACCTCATCTTGTCAGATTAAGAAAGGATGAACAATTTGCCTTTGAAAACTAGTTAATGAGGGAAAGCTCATTTTACATATTTTGTAAGATTAAACTAATCTTGAAAGCAATTGAAGAAGAAAAGATAAATTAGTACAAAGAATTTGAATAAGACATCAATTTTTATATATTTCATGTTGCTATCTGTACAAGTACAAGAGGAGATAGTTTCAAAAAATGATTTCCATATAAGTCATCTATCATATATCAGACTTTTTCTAACAGCTGTGTAATTATTAGAATAATGTCTTGAATTCTGCTCTTCGGTTTGGTTGTAATAAAAATATAACTCTACAAAAACACAGCTATTCACTCTTTCCCCTGCCAGTAATTGTGTCATAGATTATGACCATTGCATAAATCTTCAGATCTCCATCTTCTACAATTTGTTTCTGAAGTTTAGGATGGGAAGGAATTACATTATTATGGTTGTAGTACAATGATTCTTTAATAACAAGAATAAGACTCAAGTCAGTAAAATAAATTTGTAATTCACATTCAGTACAGGTTAGAATTTAAACTTCCACTGATTTTTTTCACAGGAAAATTGTGCTCATGAGAGGCCAAAACCCCACATGAACCTATTTTTAAAATTCTAACCTATAATTCTACCAAGTAGAAGACTAAATGCTTTACTTGCTTTACATTCTTAGAATAATTATTAGCCTTGACTCTATCATCTTCCTTCAAGAAATAGGGTTTCCTTAGAACTGCATTAGCCTCAATAAAACAATGTTTTGCAACTCTTAAAAAGAGATGTGCATAAATGTAAGAAAGGTTCAGATTAGCTGAGCAGAATCTGTGTACTGGTCACACTAATGTCTGTCCATACTGATGCACTATTTTTGTAGGAATGAAAACTCTTATTTTTTTTTTAATCAATGAATGAGAATCAAATGGCATGTTCCCATCTTAATAGGAAGAGGAAGATGTGTTGCATATGTTTACCATCCTGAGTAATTTGTAAAAATAATAAAAGACATGGTATTGATTAATTGGGATGGACAAACCACATAAGTAGGTTCAGAGGCTTCTTATCCATGCATGAATGATACTGCAGAGAGCAAGGTTGTTTTGTTTTGCTTCTGATATGAATTATTATTTTTATCTTGTAAGTTGATTGCACCACTGAGAGGGAAGATATCTTCACTAAGAAAGTTTCTTTTTAGTGAGTCTCCTATCTGAACCAGTATATTAATGAGCCATAAAAGAAATAAAACACAAAGAATTCTATTGCTTCTAAACTTTGTTTATGGCCAATTAATGGATTTGGGAAATCCTTTAAGACCTGATTCACATATGCAAACTGCAGTGTTGACCATTTAATGTGATGCACCACTTGTGTATTCACCGAACATGATGTAAATGTATGGCATGAAGGACCCTTTCTCTTGCATGAGGCTGCTAAAGTACCTACCACTGTTGTCAGGCTTTCTCTAGCAGGCTGGATTGGATCTAATTAAATAGGCATTGAGAATCCTGGAATTTCTGAAAAGGTAGTTTAATTGTGGAAAAGTTAAGGGGCCATTGTGAAACAGTAAGGGCATCTTGCATTTATCAAATGCAAGCTCCAGGGAACCACACTGTTTATAAGGTTTCATGTTCACATTTTTTGCATCTGTTTCTTCTACTCATTCTAAAAGCAATTATCTTGGGTGGGAGATACAATTTCCATCTGTTTCATGTTTTGGTAGCCAGATCTGGTATTTGGCTGTGTGAGAATTTTTACAGTTGTTTGCTTCCATTCAGAGATCACAAATAGCTTTCTATAACCACATTCTGATTAACCTCAGAGTGAGAGGGCTGTTCTGTAGCATTCTAATGTTTCAACCATGAACTAGAACTAAGCAAAACACCCCCCTCCAGCATAATATCCTAGGATATTTGGACTTCAATTACAATCTAGTGGCTTCTATAAGAGATGTCAGTATGAGAGGGTATCTGTGATATATTGTGGACTTTATGTTGCATTGTCTTGTTTACAAGTAAGATTGCTGGTTGTAAACACCTAGAGGAAGAATTAACAACTGAACAAAGAAAAACTGGACTTTATCCAATATAGAAATCTAGGGAGCATGCAATAATGAACATACTGACAGTGTTAAATCAGATTTAGTTAACATAGGAACTGTTGGACTGTTAAATTATTTTTAGCTAAATGTTTATAATTAATACTTTTTACTCCATTTTGTTGCCTCTTAATGATAATTCAATTAAATAACACTTATATCTACTAATTACCTGATAGTGGTTAAAAACACTGTGTATCCCAGCAAGACTGTGAACTATACTGTTGGGTATACCCATTGATAGGAAGATCATAAATGATGAATTAAATCAGAGCTGTCAAACTCCTGGCCCACGGGCCAGATGTGTCATGCACTGGCCATGCCCACACCCAGTTTAGCGAAGTGGGTAGAAGTCCCGATACATCACATGATGCCTCTGTTATGAAGTGAATTTGACACCCCTGAATTAGATTAAAAACAATCTCTTGGAAAAGGAAATAGTAACCCACTCAAGGAGTTTGCCAGGAAAGAATATTCACAATCAGATTTATGTCAACATGATATTAGAAGATTTAAGAGCAAGTCACAGATGTCAGTATTGGTATTGGCTGGAATAGAATTAAAAGCATATTCAGCAGTTATGTCCCCAGAGGCAAACAGGAAATTTAATGCTGCAAAAATATGTATACTATTTAGACTTGCAATGTCAGAACAAAACATACTTGATGCTGTCAGAATAGAAACATCAAGAAGCAATTACTGGCAGACAATCCTGGCAAAATGATGTCCATTGGGTCATGAAGAATTGGAAGAGACTGATTGAATAACAATTCTAATTAGCAGCCATGTCTTTTCTCTTATTCCAATAATTGTTGTAGACCAAAATAATGTGTATAAGGTATGCTTTACTGGTGACATTGATAGCATTGGCAAGTATTCAAACAGTATGCCTGGAGAAACTTCTGCCAATGCAAGGTGACAAAAAATATGTAAGAAGCTGGTTAAAACACACATGCAGATTTATACCCCTATATCATATGGAGGACTGCTGATGGAGAAATTCATTGCCACAATATTATTTCTTTCAATGACAAATCTATTGTGGACAGAACATCTAATATACTTTTCAAACTTCATACCTGTATGCCCAACAGATATTCAAAGACCTTAACTGCTGCCAATGCAATCTTTGGTTGTAGGATTGTAGAGAGTATCTTTGGGGGGGGGGGTTTAAGCCAAGGAATGTCTGGAATGGATTTGAATGGATCAAAATTATTTGAGCATTATTAGGGTTGTTATTAGGGCACTAAAAATATAGCATACATTAATTCTGTCTTGTTATTTTGGATACTTGTACCCTTGGCCTATCCATCTGAGGACCAACTTCCTACTTTCTCTCTAGCTGCCTATGACACGAATGAAGCTCTTCCTCCTTTACTTCTTCACTGAAGGCTGCCAATCCGTTCATTCTTTGAGAAACCACTTCTTTCTTTTAAGTGACATGAAAAGGTTCAAGGAATAAAAAAAATGCCATAAAGAACATGTCCCTTTGGCCCAGCTAGATAACTTCATCACAGATTGGACATAAGATGAAAATTGAGAGTGGGTTTTTGTTTTTTTGTTTACTTTCCTAGTGCAAACACTTTGAGGAAACAATTTGAGAAAAAAATAGTTTCTGGAGGGCGAGCTATTTATTCGCGTGCAGCCCAAATGAACATTAACAAACTTATAACATCAAATATTTGCTAGTCTTTTACAGTGACAAAGAGTGCCTGGCTATTTCTGATTTTTAAATAAAATAAAATAAAATGATCCGTTCTCAGTGGACCAGTTAATCAAAGTGAACTATGATGTTGTTTTGTGACACAGTGTGTTAATGAACTCTCCATCTGCTTTGCCTTTGCTGCCAAAATACTTTGCTTTAATGAAAGATGTCTGCTGAGTGACCTGTTCCTGACCCACAAGCATAACTCATTACATATTTGGCTCAAGATGGAATTGTCTCTAATTGGCAATATTTTTATATTCAGGTCAAGATTCAGGCCTTCGAATTTAACAGTCTTTCCTAGGTGGCTGCAAGCTATTTGACACATCAAATATCATGACCGGCATCAAAACTGTGCACCAAGAAAAAAAGAAGTCCCTTTTAGAGGACAAGCATTTAATTGCTAAAGACTCAGAGCTGCATTAATAAGATTTGTGTTTGAGCAAATCTAACCACAAATCTAGTTTCATTTTGTCTTGTAAGGAAAACTGAACAAAAATATATCTTCATAATACTCCCCATAATTGAAACTCTGTTTGTGGGGGGTGCATGCCTGCAAATGTACACAGATAATATGCACATAATTTGTACATCTCCTTGTACAAATTATATAAGAAATATCGGCATGGCACACAGGAGACAACCAACAGAGCAATTTGGTTAATGAAAAGTCTGATGCTAGAGCAGGGGTGTCAAACTCAAGGGCAGGGGCCAGATTCAGTCCATTGGTGCTTAAAGCTGGCCCATGGGATCACCCTGGAAACAGCAAAGAAACAGCTCGTGGTGCCTCTGCCAGCAAAAATGGGCTCCCGAGCTCCATTTTTGCTGGCAGAGGGTTACAGGACATAGTTGCAGCTGAAAACAGAGCTCAGGAGCCCATTTTCACTGGTAGAGCCCTTGGGCCACTACAGGTGCCCCTGACATGAGTGATGTTGAGCTGGTCATGCCCTCCTGGCCACACCCACTCTGCCCCCCCCCCCCAAAGTCAAACACAACCTTGATGCAGCCCTCAATGAAATCGAGTTTGACACCCCTGTGCTAGAGCCTTAAACCATTCTTCCATTTCCTTTCTGATTGATTTCTCACCCACTGACATCCATGGGAGATAAGACAAAGATTCCAAATCCATGATTGGCATTGTCTTCCTGCTGCTTGGTGGGCAAGAAAAGAATTGGGAGAGCTCATTCTTTTCCTTTCCCTATATCACAGGCTCTGACAGCCTGAAGACCTGGCTCTGACAGGTGGTCTGGGGACCAAATGCAGAAGTGGAGGTGGCTACTGGATTAATTAGCTGGCCCCCTTCTCCCCTGTGTTTCCTACTTCTCCTCCCACACATCTTTCAACTCATATTGTTGTACTTTCCTCATTTATTTTTATTGTTTCATTGCTTTACTATTGTTACGTTTACATTTTTTATCATTGTTTCCCATTTTTACTATTGTAAGCCGCCCAGAGTAACCCCAGGGTGAGATGGGCAGCAAATAAATTTAACAAATAAATAAATTTAATAAAGCAGGGAAAGCAGGACAGAGGGAATTTCCATAGAGGCTGACAGGGTGGATCACCACCACCTGCAGAGAAGGCATGGACCTAGGCAGCAATCAATGAACATTCTACTTTGTATCATTGCAACTCATACTAGACTGCGCCATAGTGGCACAGTAGTTAGAATGTAGTACTGCAGGGCTAACTCACTGCGCACTCCAGGAGTTTGATCCTGACTGGCTCAAGGTTGACTCAGCCTTCCATCCTTCCATCCTTCTGAGGTTGGTAAAATGAGGACCCAGATTGTTGGGGGCAATAGGCTGACTCTGTAAACCATTTAGAGAGGGCTGTAAAGCACTATGCAGCAGTATATAAGTCTAAGTGCTATTGCTATATTGAGCAAAAGCTAATCATTTCTCCCAGTCTGACAAACCATTATTATTGTTATTTGTTGTTGCTGTTGTTTCATGAGGCATGAGTACAGTGATAGCTGGTGACACAACCGTATTAGATCGCTTGACTGAATCTTTTTCCTTTTCACCATTCCATACTTCTAAAAGTCAAAATAAATATCCTACATTTCAAAGAAGCATTACCTTCTCCCCCCTCCTCTCCCCTCTCTCCTTCTCTTTCTCTCTCTTTTTTACTTTTGGTGTTGTGAATAAAAACTAGTATTATGCCATCATCAAATTTCATCCATGGGAACTTGGGATCCTTTAATTTCTGCAATGTATGCTCAGATTCTTTAGAAGTGGCAACCAGGGGATCAGGATCTACATGGAGCCCACAGGCCATAGATTGCCCAGCAATCTATGTGTTTGAAAAAGAAAACACATTTGAAGCTCCAAAGCTCCATCCAATTATTTCAGACAACTTGTATATGAAAGTCATATGATAATGAATATAAATGGGCATAAACTGTATCTTGGGTCCATATACATTAGCATTTCCATTGTGTATTTGACTTCTAATTTTCTATTTACTAATACCGAGGAGCTTATTTGTAATTCTTTTCCCCCCAGAAGGGTATATTCTGAAATAACTGCAATGAAGAAAGAGAAATGTCACCTCATAGCTGACATTTTTGCTCACAGTATTTTGTGTCGGCCAATAACATAGGAATAATGTGTGCCATTCAATAGCAGATTTGGCTGGCAAGGTAAAAAAGTCTTTTTCGGTTTGTCAAAAAACAACTGTGGGATAAAACATTGCTTGCCATTTATTTAATGATTAAAACTCTGGGTGCCATCCATGCCTGACCGGGGAAGAAAGTGGTTTTGGACATTGATAATCTACATCAGTCTCTCGATGTGCTTGACTTCAATTCCTTGAATTTCTATCAAGGAGTTGGTTTGATGGTCACATATTTTGATAACAGACTAGGGAAGTTGATCTATGCTTTTCTAGATTAAATGTTTCCTTAATTTACAGCTATATACTCTGATCATTCTTTTTTACTTCCCTCTTTTCAGCTGCTGTCCGCTACTATCAATGTGTCTTTGTAAATGGATTTAATGGTTACACACCTCGATATTCTGTTACTCAAGAAAAACCTGCTGATTCCAAGTTGAAGGCGCGGAAACAATAATGTCCTGCAACCTGTGACATTGCAACAATTTTGCACTTTGCACCTACTTCAGGGGGTCACCTGGAAGTCCACTTAGCACCTGTGACAATGGAAGTATGGTCAGACTGATCACATGCACCTGTAAAGGTTGTCTCTTGGTTGTTAGAGCACCAGAGACAATTTTATGGCATTATATGATTAAGGATATCCATACTACTTCCCTGAATGAAAGCATGGTGCTGAAAGAGTACTTGACAGTAAGTGTATAGGTGTATGTATATTTATATATCCTGTCAAAGTCTGTTTCTAGGTTCTGTTTTAGACCTAGCTAGTATGGAAAACATTTTCCATGGTATCAGTTTTGGAAAATGTTGAAACGCAAATAGTCATTTGCAGTACAGTTTGCAATCTACGATAGTGTTAAATGAAATTGCGAGTCATTCTGTACTAAACTTTTAAGTAACCAGACTCTAATAATAAAACATATGTTCTACATATGATTTTTTTGTAAAGCAAGCAATAAAATGTTTGCTATTTACATACTAGAGAGATATTTGAATTAAGCGCATCAATTTCTCTTTACTTGCTATTTGAAATAACAGACTGATATCTCAACATCAAAAGAAAAATATAATGCTTCCAATGAAAATGTCTAAAGATGTTATTCTGGCTGCCTATTAAAATAGGTTTTGCTTTGTAAATAATACTGTATCTTTGTAAGTAGTTGTTCCTAATTTCTATTAAATGTATTTTGTGTATATAATTTTATACTTGTTTGCAATGTCAAACTGAACAAATTATGTATTGTTTTTACACAAATTGGATAAGGACAACTCTTAACACAAAAATTACATCTGAAGTCTTTAACTGAATCAATTTCATAAGTTTCTAAAGGGAGACTATTGTTGAAATGCTGATATTTATTTTGAAGAGATGAACAGGGTTTAGGTAACTATGCCTAAAGAGGTTGAAGCAATTCATGACAATGTTTGGTTTTCCCTCTCTCTCTTTACATGTTTCATCTTTTCATGTCTTGGTCATACTAAAATAGGACTGGAATTTAATGCTACCTAGGCAATTTCCATTACTGTATTTTCAACCTGATCTAATACAATTCTGCCATTGTGAAAGTAAATTTATTGGGAGAAAAACAAATACAGATAAATGGAATACTTGATTACTAATATTTCTGTATTAGACTGAAGGCTAAATCACAAACAAGTGATTTAGGATCATTTTGTTAAAAATAAAAGATTGTACTACTTAAAGAATGTACTTTGGACGTACAGGCTTATCCCGCTGCTGGATGAGCAAAATGAGGAGGTGTGTCAACAAAGCAGAGAATTAAAGACTAGACTGTAGTCTTTATGAAATATGGTTTTGACATGTCACAAGATATATGCATTGATTGAAAGATGATTGATCTTGTTAATATTGTATCATGATTGATGAAAGCATTCAAACTTTTTATAAATGATGATACCTCATAAGTGACATGAAAACGTTTGACTGTGCTTGATTATATGGTAGAGTTGTAGAGTTGGCATAGCATTAATGTGATCAACTCAACCATATCAAGAATTATGATCCACCATGAGTGCAGAAGTATAGAAGTTTCAGAATGTAACTTTGAGATCTGCCTCTTTTAGGTGGTTCATATCTACCTCTGATCTTCCCAAAACAGAAACCTTAGGCTTCTGTTCACTTTTCCTATAATTCATTTATTTTGCTATTTATAGCATAGTTTTAGTGGCTTTCCAAAGACCTGCAGATTGAAATGCATGTTTTTAGTCAAATCGCCCAAGGTTGCTCTAGAGTTGTATTGAAATTTTGCTAATTGTAGATAAACCTTACTTAGATGATTAAAAGCTGTTTAACTGAGATTTATTGAAGCATATCCCAATTCCCTATAACTGGTTCAAGTGCAATAGCATATTTGAGAAGACATTTCCCTTTGGATATCCAGCTGACTCAGAGAAATTCAAAATATAAAATCTCACATAATGGTCAATGATTCCAGAAGCATTAATCATTTGCTTAAAACAAAAGTTTCTTATTGCCTCCATCCAGACATCAGATTAATAAAAAAAATCTTGCCATTATTTGAATTATATGAGTTTATCCATGTTTTAACTGTTGATTTGCAAAACAAAATAGTCAAAGGGTATCATAGTAAGTACAGCTCAGTTTCATTATTTGACAGGGCAATGATTCATGATATTGTTATTTATCTTGATATTTTAATTAATACCAAGAATCAAATAGTAATTACTGTGGTCTTTCTATGTGGCATAGGTTCTTTGAATAGTTTGCCACACATTCACTTAAAATCCTAAACTAAAATTCATTTCATGTTCTAGTCCTTGATAATGCTTTCCGTGATGTTTCTCAAGACTGAGAAAGTTTCTTTACTTGGCATCCACATAAAGGTTTGATGTTAATAGACAAAGTTTTCATCATAAAAGCAGTGGCCCCATTGTGCTGTTGTGCATATATTTCTAACAGCAGATAGGGATGAGAAGTATAACATTTCATGGTATAGCAGACAAAATAACCCTACAGCACCACAGTATAAAGAACAGATAGTAGGGACACTTCCTATATCTTATTGATAAGGACAATGGAAAAGAAAGAGGTGCTTATATTTTTATGTCTGTTTTTGTTGATTCTGTTTTTCACCCCCTTAATTTAGCGTACTGTTTTTATTGGGTATGGAAATTATGCCAGCCCCTGGGCTAGCATATTTCCTTTCCACTTTGTGGATATATTCAGAGACCTGGGAGTTTGAACTGATAGCACTAGATGTGGGCCATGACATCTCCTGTTTTTTTAGCTGAACTTTCATTTTTCATTAGTTAGACAGCCACAAAGGCAAAAGTATATACTATCACACAATGAGGTTCCTCAATGAAAATCCTCATTGGACCTCTTTCTCTATGGAGGACCATCTCTTTTTCCACAGGGAGGAAGGTCTACAATATTTTATTACTTGTAGGGTGCCACTCCAGAAACCGTAGTAGTGTTTATTAAAAGTACAGTGCCAGCTAAGCTAAACAATTACTGCCATAGTCATTTTCCTACATCTATGCTACTTAGTTCTTTATGATAACTATACTATTTCTATATCTTTAATCTCAAATGCAGGCCTTTTTTCACAATAGAAATCAGGGAGTGAATGTATGACATCCATAATTTCTGGTTCCATTTCATTTATCATGAATAGAGTAAGGGAGAAAAAAAATCACACTGGCTAAAATAATTCTTGTATTCCTTAGTTTTGAAAATAAGAAGGACAATACCTCTAAGAATAATTTGTCAAGTCATCCACTGCCTTTTAACTGCCGCAGATGTCTTCCAATTGTCAAAATAATATACCAAGTTATAAGCACTGAAAATAAGGCTATCTCAATTCAAAGAAAGACGTAATGCTTTGTACAATTTTTTAAGGCATCCAGATAGATTTATGTGTATGCAAAATAAGTAGAGGTGTATTTGAAAGTAAGATCAAAAAGGCCTGGGAATGATTAGAAGTAACACAGGCAGGGTCTTGTTTTAAACAAGAAGGGAATGAAATATTTTAATGGATGCAAAAAGAAATGGTAAACATAAGAATGGCAAAATGAAGAGATATACCACTATTGTGAATGGATGTAGTAGAAGGAATGCTGAGGAATTTTTTTAAAGGTGTTGCAATGCAATGAGTGCAACACAGATGGGAAGAAGAAACATGGTAAATAAAGAAAAATGTTTGATCTTCCATTTTGAGAGATAAAGCCAAGAAAAGAAGAAAAGCTAACGCAGATTGTTTTCTACAAACTAGAGAAAGTACTGCAGAAGGGACTTCACTGTAAAATAGTCAGTGGTGTTTTTCAATTACCAAAATAGATTTATATTTAAGAACACTCCGCAAAGTGTAGCATTGCGGATGACTGCGGTAGTGGTTGTATGTAGAGAATCAGGTGAGGGATTTGTTCCAATTAATTGAACACCAGTCAAACATAACTTTCCCCTTCTTACAATTGTGAGACATATACTGTATTTGGTCAATAAGAAGACTGAAAGGCCTGCACATTTTCTACACATTTATGATCAATGTTCTCCCCTATTCTCAGTACAAAATCATGAGTTCCAAACTCTCATTCCTTAACCACACCAAGGAAGGGAAGGCTATGACTCAGTTGTCAATAGAAGATACCTATCTCTCATTCACTCTAATCTTTGGTATAGTGTCTTGATATAGGCCTATCTATAAATACCAGGAAAGCAGAGAATAATCTTTGTTATAATCTATAGCAGAGTAAACAATATTGTGCTCATGGACCCTTCCTTTGTACCTTCTAGAATCTAGATTCTAGGCTGCAGATGACTTCTTTTTAATAGGACCTTTAATTTATAACGAAGAAAATATTGCCATGTTACAAGCACCAGATAGTAATATATGGATCCTGTAGATAGTCTTAGAAAATAAAAATGTTAGGTAACTACAGCTTAGCACCAGGTTTGGAAATACACTCACCTTTCAAGAAAAAATAGAAAGAACGAAAGAGGATGGGGGTGGGGGGAGAGAGAAACTAGAGGTAATCACAAATGAGATGTATTTTATCACTGGCTGTACTGACTATGGCAGGCATTTGTCAAATGGAAAAGCCTATCTGTCAGCCAACTGTAACAACGTTCAGTATGCCAAAATGATAGCCTACTTCTGAGCTACTCCATGACTGTAGGTAGTCTGAATTTATAGCTTTATGCAAAAATATGTATCACACCATACTGACAACTTTATAAAATAGAAAAGAGAAGAGCAAAAAGTTGTGTAGACTGAGAATGTGGTGATTGGTTGTGAATTTCTCCAAAATTGAGAGAACTGCACAAAAAGGGTTTTATGATTTTCTGAAGGCGCAGTATTGATCTGAAAAATATATTAGAATATATTTAGAATATATTTTAGGCTTCGGTCCTGTAGACGTTTAACCTCTAGGGTTATTGGGATTAAGAAATAGCTGGAGCTCTATCCAGTGATGTCTTGCTCTGATCTAGCAGAAAATACTCATACAACAGAGAGCTATTTACACTATCAAGAAATATTCTTTTATTTCACAATTATATTTAATGACTGCTACTGGTATATGTTAAAATATTGGTACTTATTGAAATTTAAATAAAGTTTTTAAAATAAGCAACAAAAAAGAATGCTAATGACAATAATGTTTTGTTTTTATATTTATGTCTTTATGTTTTCATTTTCATCTTAACTTTGTACATACTTTATCAATACTACAAATGTTTTCCTTTCAAAAATTATTTCATTTTTGGTCTCCAAGTGACATCTTATATAGAAAATGTTTTTATCATGAAGATACTGCATTGACTACAGATTGTAATTATTTATGTAATACTTCTAAACATGGAAAGAATAATTGTTGAATAGCTGAATTGAGATGCAAATTTGAAGCCCTGTATATTTCCAAAGAGAATTTGAAAAAAAGTGTTGTTAGGTTTCTGTCAAATTACTGTTGCTAACCTCGCTGATAGTCTGTAAGTGAGAAAATATCAAGTATTTTCAATAAAAGGGAAATGTTTTCAACCTCATGTTTGTCCATTTTTAATTAAATATTATTGGTCCACTGCATTTTAAAATATTTTTAGTTTCAAAATTTAAATGATCTTTTATATTCTATTGTTTCAAATTCCTAAATTGAATATTCAGAGATAAAATATTTTTGGCACTATTTTCATATGCACATCAGTGTGAAATCACAGCTGCCAGTTTTTTAGCTGGTGTTATCTTTCATATTGATCAAGTTCTTCCCAAGAACCTAGGATGTCATAATGTATCAGTATAATATATGTGAGGATCCCAGCAATATGACATTTTGTAATTGATAGATGGAAATATTTGTCAATGCACATATTTTCTAAGTGCGATCCAAGACTTTTGTTATGGCACCCAGGGAGCAAATAATCATTGGGACCACTATAGTTGGCTTATTGCCATTATCTTTCAACTTCTATTTTTAGACCTTGATACTTGGTGATCTCCAATTCTTTGTCCTCTAGTATCCCATGGCATTATTGTATCAGTTATCTACACATTCTTTTCAACCATAGTTAAATTTGATGTGTGATGAGCCAAATTCTTATCGTATTTATCAATGACTGGATTTCAATTTCTGATTTTCCATAAAATTTAAGTTCATTTATATAAAGCAAATGTGAGAATTTATTAGTATTTAAGAGCCAACATGTGTTTTCTTCAATATTACTGAAAGTTGGACCACAACAATGATAAATAATAAGAGTGATGATAAGTCACCCTGGAAGATGCCTCTTCTAATGTTAACAAGCCCAAATTTTCATTTCCAACCACCAATTCTGTCGTCTTATTTTTCCTATAAACATTCTGATGTTTTTTCTGATCGCAGCTATTTCCAAACATTTCATGAGCCAATTATGTGGTAATGAATCACACATCTTTTTATAATCAATCCAGACCATATGTAAATCATTTTATTAGCTTTTGTAATCTTCCAATCCTATTTTATCAATCAAAGGTTGTTCTTTTCTACCTTTGCATTTTCTTTTATTTCCTTTCTATTCTGTTGGGAGATTGTTGTTTTCTTCTAAACACTCTTGGATATTGTCTGCTAAATAATCTTGGATGTTGATTCATTTCCAATATGTGTTTTTCCCAAACTAATTTTTTCTACACTGCTCCATATTCCCACATTATTTTTGGTCCTGCAACAAAATTGAGCTTTTATACATGTAAACAGAACTCTCTCCTTTTTACAACTACTTACCAATATTAATCTTTTCTCTAGATTATAAGATAACTTTCCAAGTTTGGTTTACTCCTTTATAGGCTATTTTGGTGGTTAAAAGTATGGCCAATATAATTGATATTAATTATAAATGGGGTATGGGAAAAAAGAATCCCAGTAATAATTTGTATATGATTACCTAAAAGAACAATGCAGGTTCCTTCCTTATTCTTGGGATAGAAATGTTGATAGGATCACTTAATGGAAATGAACACATGAACATGCATTCAAAAAATAAGATGTAGTTAATTTTGCTCCCTGAATAAGATAGCCAGCAAAAAAACACCATCATTTTTCCCATTAGTACCTATATGGTTTTAATGAGCTCTATCTCTCAACTAGCATTTAATGATTTTTTGTGTGTGTGTTCTCCAAGTAAAGTACACCTTGTTGCCATCAGGATTAAGTCAGATACACAAAACAATACATGGAACTTCAAGACTGATTATGGAGCCATTCCATCATGGGCAAGTGACTGAAATGTGCTCTATTGGATTAAATATTGACAGAATCCCAGGGCTAACAAGGAGATTGACCTCTCAGCCAGATCCTGACCCTTTCTTTAAGGGGAATAAATAAATCTTTGGTTTATTGGCATACAGTATCAGTTGCATTCTGAGTTTGGATTGCAATGCCACCAATTTTAAGAATTTGGAAGATAAAGAGGCAGGGCTCATACCTTTCCACTTTTGCTTTTTGTGATTTTATTGACCTAAGAGAGATAGTGGGAAGCTAATTCAGATATATTTCATCAAATAAATCAACAAATTTCACTTCCCTTTTGTTGTGGATTCTTTTGCAAATAATTCTCCCACTCCCAGCATAGAGGGTTTGTTGTAAAAGTGTATGAGAATTTTATTTTTCCATGCACATTAACATTTAGCACAAATTTATTTTCAACATGAAGTTCTAAGCAGGATAAAACATGAGTTTAAATTAAGTGTTTTAATTTATGTTTGTACCACTTTAATTTGCTAATATCAGACCTAGTTCTATCCAGAGTTCTTAAAAAGGCATGTTGAATTTAGCAGCAATTTCTATTTCTCACAGTCAGATGAAGTGTCATTTGGCCTGGATCCGATGGTAGGTGAAACTTTGATTAGATCTTCCATCTCCCTTCTAGCACCATAAAGTCTGCAGTGGTTAGTAATTTGCAATTTCTTATGTTTGGCATATCTCCAGGTTTTACCCTCAAAAATGCTTCATAGACTTGAGCACCCAAAATCTAAACTAAGTCTTCTATCCAATCCTTTTTGGATCCTGTAGGCATTTTTTCCCTCTTATTTAAAATCCATTGTTTATCCTCAACACTTACTAGCATGAACTCTGCCTTAGCTATTTTAGCTGCCTCCTTTTCTAACCTTCTGTTTTGGTTTTTCTTTCTTAAGGAAATATTTTTCCTTCTTAAGTCTATTTCTAATGTTATCATCAGGGGTGGGATTCTACCAGTTCGCACCTATTCACTAGAACCGATTGTTAACATTCTAAGCAGTTTGGAGAACTGGTTATTAGAAGAAATTACTGGCCTAATCCTGTAAGGAAGGCAAGAAGGAAACATTCTGGTGTTGCTTACAGAAACTGCCTCTCCGTTAACCCTTATTACATTCTTGGCAGAATTAAACTTCCTGTCTCAGGAACTTCTCTGGAGTTTTTTTCCCCTCCTTTGCTGGTACTTTGCTTGTGTTGAGTGACCATTCAAAATTACAATGGCACTGAAAAAAGTGACTTATGACCATTTTTCACACTTACGACTGTTGCAGCATCCCCACAGTCATGAGAGGCCAGGCAAGGAGATGCGTGCCTCGATGCGAGTGATATTGAGTTGGCCACGCCCAGCCAATAACATGACCACCAAGCCATGTCCACCCAGTCACACGACCACCAAGCCACGCCCACCATCTAAGCCACACCCACAGAACTGGTTGTTAAAAAATTTGAATCCCACTCCTGGTTATCATGGCATCATATGTGTATAGCAGCCTATTTGCAGCTCCTCTTTCTCCTAGGAGAGTTTTCTTCTGAGAATCTTAATTAGAATTGAGAAGTTAGAATAACTTTATTGTCGGACTTCCGGTGGCAGGACAGGGACGTCCAGAGGTGGAGAAGCCCAGCTGTGGCTTTCGATCACCTCTTCTCGCATTTGGAGGGATCCCCAGTGGATACACGAAACCCGTAGAGCTTCGTGTCAGAAAAGAGGACCCCCGGGTTGCTGTTTGGGGGAAGGCAACTCCCCAGCAACGAAGGAAGAGCCTCTAAGACCAGCGCGATTGAGCCAGCCGCCAGCTAATGGCGGCTCCAAAGTCCCGTCTGTCACTGAACTGACGAAGCGAAAAGTGACAGCCTGAAAGATCCGAGCTGAAAAGGGCAGAAGGACTACAAAAGCCGTGAGTGAGATTGGTCTGACTCTCCCTCTTTCATTGTGAGTAACAGTGGGGGAAAGCTGGAGACAAGCGGCTAGAAAAGCGATTCGAAAAGTGAAAGGGGGATTAATGCAGACAGAATGGCTCAACATTTAAAATGAATGTGTGGATTGGAGCGTTTGGAAGAAGATTGTCGAGGAGAGAGGAAGGCGGTGGGATCTTTAAGAAGCTCGGGAGTGGATTGCCATCTGGGATCAGCGCCTGAGAAGACTAGAAGACTAGGGGAGAACTATAGCTGCGAAGGAGGGCAGAGCGAGCTGCAGAGGGCGAGATAGTGACGCACTGACTTTTATATGTAAGGTCCTCTTCCTTATAGCTACACTGCCTACAAAACTGATTTCTAAAAGGGATCGATTTGAGGCGGACACTCAAAGTGTTTGTGGACTTACAATTGCTGACAGAAAGGAAGAAGAGGGAAGAAGAAGAAGGAAGAGACAGACGGAATCCTGGTAAAGACTGGTAAAGACTGAATGCTGAGTGCTGACAGCAATTAGCCAGCACTTCCTCCCTCTGCTCCTTCGGTGCGCCCAGGAAGAAAGGCTATAAGACTATAACACCAGCCCCAACTCAGACTTGTTTTTCTATGGAACTAATCCCACAGATACGTGTCTAGTGATTCCCTGAAATCTAAAAGACCCTTCTCTTCCCGCACCCTTTCTCTCTCCCTTTCTCTCTTAGTCTTTCCTTTCTCTCTATAACAATTATAAATATAGATGTAAAGGCAAACTGCTTATTATTGTTATTAGGGTTTACTGATTAGAGTCTTTTGAATATACAAAAATTGGAAGGTCTGTTAAATTGGGTTGACTTAGATTAACTGGAACCTTGAATATTAATTACATTATAGGACAAAGGTATATATAGAGTGAGAAATTTTAGAGTTGTTTGTTAGCTGTAAATAAGTTTGATTTGATATGATATTGATTTATTAGGGGTTAAATATAATTAATGAATTTTGGTATATGAACTTAGTATAGAGAACAATATATAATACTTAATATATAATATTTGATAATATTCTATTTATAGTATGTGATAACACTTTATTGAATTGGAATTTAAACTGCCTAAGCGACAAATTGGGTCGAAGAAAGAGATCTAAAATAACTTGGTGTGTAAGCTTAGTAAATAGACTTGCAATCACATTTAAAGGGCTATTACATCGAATGGTGATTTGGGAAAATATTCTTAACATTATCCAATTGCAAAAACAAATCTTATCAGAGATGACTTCCACAACAACCACGGCCCTGAAAACGGGAAGGAAGAACACCCAGACCTTGACGACAACTTTGGCAACTGCCTCCCCAACAACGCAGAAAACTATAGAAGAGACCTTGA